ATGTCATGCAAAGGCTACAAAATTTTTCAACGAGGCACTGTTGCCTTGCCAAGCCTCTCAAGCTAAAGTTTCCTTATTACCTCATCTATTAGCATGTGAAGTGTTGAGGTGACATGGAAAATTGGATTTGCTTTTAGAGATGCTCTAACAACATAATTACATGTCTCCCACCCCACACACCTACTAAGCTAATGCTTAATAGTTTTTTATTACCATATTACCCACAAATTAACCTAAATTAAGCCGGCCGACACCAAACACGATGAAATTACAAGTTGATTATGTCCCATTTACCACTAGGTTAATTATGCCACCTGCCTTATAATATTGAAACATCAAAGTTGAATTGTCCAACATTTTGTTCCACTTCTGAGTGCTAAGCCTACGACTGTTCCACCAACTGGAATTTATCACTTATTTCTTTGATGCTTCATTTCTCGCATCCCTTTCTAAGTTGCGTCCCCGATTTACTGGGACCTCCCACACACCCACTATTAATATCACGAGGTTACCAATTTCTCCCAATCCCCCTTCCCTGTCGTGGTCATCAGCCAGCCATCACATAGTTCCTCGCATTCATAAAGGAGGCGGCCCTACGTTCTCTGTATCTGGCGGGAATGCTTTTGCTCGCTAACCTTAAGTGATGGTAATGCTTATTACCATATTTATCATCTTTAAATGAGTTTAAATTTCAAGATATGTGTAGTGAATGAACACAAATCTCAAAATTTAAACTCATACAATGATAATAAGTCGAGTGGTGAGTATTACCACTACACTGTAGTGGAGCAAATATGGGATAATTGGTTGTTCCTGACCCCAATAACTTTATAACCCCAATGTATATTTGTATATTACTGTACACAACTGTAGCAAAATGAAAAATGAGTCAAAACATTGAATTACAAACGGCTAATTCTTTTGTGCAACCCCCTATATAGTTATTATAAATTTTCTTCTTTCTCTCCTTTGCCGTTCTTCTCTTATTTCTGGTGCACGACCTCAGCTTATGGTGCGCAACAAGTGTCTAATAAAAAAAACCTCAGTTGATAATCATCAACAAAACTCATAAAAACTTGGTAAGTACTCACTAGAAGCTCGACAAAATGATTCAATAAAGCTTTTTTTGGCCAAAATTGTGACTCCATTATTATTAAATTTTGGGTTCATTGTTGCCACTACTTAAGGTAATGAACAAACATGCACTCGTATGTTCTAAAAAACGCTAGGCGATAGTTGGGCGGTGGGCTGGAGTCTAGCACTTAACGGACTAAGCAGATTTAAGTAAATCTATTGTATTTTGTATAAATAAGTGTCTGCTTATACTTAAAATATATATAATTTCATCATAAATTACAAAATAGAATGACATATATATTATGAAGTATTGGAACATAATGAAAACATAGAGAACAAGAATATAATGTTTGTTTATTTAAGTATGCAACAAGTCTCTTACAATTTACTAAAAAAATAAAATGCAAACTGAAAGTTATTTGTTTTCTGTCTAAGTGAGTTGCGACTAGGACGGATCTGAGCGGGTTAGTTGGATGCCTAGGCAGACTAGGCGGATGCCTCAGTAGATCTCGGTGCTCCTTCTTAATTTTCAAACGTCTAGACATTAATTAGGACGGTAATCAACCGTCTAGTACCTAGATAGAACTTAAATGACGTTAGACAAGAATTTATAGAACAATGCTCCCAACTACCAGCTAATCCTTTGAACCTAATTAATTTAAGCAATGAACACCCCCAGTAGTACGGTTTTGAATTTTGATCCGGATTGTAGAAAAGTCGATAGAAATGTCAAAGCAGTTAGGTGCGAGTTAAGAGTTCGGCTTTAGAGACAGAGAAAAGACAACATGATTAAATCACAAAGCACACAGTGTCTTGTAATCAACATGTCTAAACTTTCCCACAAACTTGCCAACACAATCACCGACTGACGTTTAACCACTGTTCTGCAACATCGTCAAACTTTACCGATTCATCGTCTTCAACTTCTATTTAATCATAGATTTATAGCTTATCACCCTAACAATACAAGTGACAAATTAAACTAAAATAAAAGAGGAATTTTTTTAGCTGAAGATTTCACCACAGTAGTCCATTCTTCTTAGACCAGAAAAATATACAAAGATATACCATTGTATAATTCACGAGCTGTAGAAATTAAATCCATGACGTGCTATGTGATACACAAACCTAAAATTCATTTCTAACTACTATATCACCCAATGATGGTTAGGAAAAAGCTATTTGACACCAACGATATGAGAGGAACTACAAGCTAGCATTTTAGAAATATACGTGACAAATTAAACTACAATAGAATAGAAAAATTCATTTGACACAAGTGTGACTGCTGTTTGAGAGACTTGGAGTTACATAACGTAATTAAAAACATGAGATGAGTCAAAGTCTCACTTCCAACAACGTTGATATTATCACCCACTTGTTAATTACGACCTGCATCGTACGATATGTGTGAAATTTTATTACGAAAGGTTTCAGTATTAGTTAGAATGAGATTAGGATATTTAAATTCTTATTTTCTCTATCATTATGCTGATATGAGATATTTCAACTGTCTTCATGTAAATATTATATTTTGGATGTTTAGTACGAAAGTTGTTAAATTCAAAGCATTAACTTACTCATACGCTTGTATTTATATTTTTAATATTAGAAGAAATTTAAAATTTAAAATTATTAAATCCTCGATGGTACAAATAAAATTTTATTAAATAAATAAAAAAAAGTTACATCTCCTTGGAAACCAGAAAGGGGACTTAAAACCCTTCCCTTTATAATACAAAAAAAATAAAATTCTAAAATTAACCCGTAGAAAGAAGATATTTTAAAACTAGCCTAGAAAGAAGATATTTTGAAATTTAGAAGGACTTTAGAGAAAGATAATAATTTAAAATGTGGAAGTTGGTTTATGTATACTAGACTTATCCCATTGTCTTATTTTCTCACCTACGTTATAATCACACCCACCTTAAAAAATTAAAATACTATTTTCTCACCCACTATTATTCCCAAAATAACCTTTAATATATACGTACATATGGAATTATAAAATTGTCTCTTAAAAAATATAACAAATCATACGTAAATGAAAACCACTAAGGTCTGCAAATTCAAATGGAAACTACAGAGGTATCCAAATTCAAAAGAATTCTTATTCGACAACGACAAATTTAAAGATACGATGGACAAATTCAATGACCTACACACAAATTATTCTTCTATCTTTTCAATGGAAACATAATCTTCTACTTCTTCCGTAGAAGCGTCATCTTCTACCTGTTTAATGAAAAAGTCATCTTCTAAGTCCATTGCTATTTTTTTTTTTACTTTCTTTGAATGAAAGGAGATGAAAATATGAGTTAGGGTTTAAGGTAGACAAATTGTCTCCCATGCCCAACGGCCCCAACTTTTTTTTTTTTTTTTTAAATTAAGCAAAACAAGATAATTAATGTCCTTATTAATTTTTTTTAAATAGACAATTTTGTAATTAAAAAAATCATTAAAAGATAAGTGAGAAAATAAGATATTGGAATACGAATAACATCACTCTCTTTAAATGGAATTCTCACTATTGGAATTTCTCCTTTTATGGTGGCAAGTTTTTGTTTAGTGGAAAAAAATACTGACTTTTCAACAGAGGCGGCAAGCAAGCTTTGGCTTTTTTCTTTTCGGTTGCTTTGTTGCTTAGTTTTAGGAAAATGTTAACATCAGTTGCAAACATCCGTCCATGTGAGCTGAGGTAAGTGCTAGGATCAATCACAATTACACGTTTTTACTCATCATGGATATTCATGCTTGTTTCAACGCGCACCTGCGGGATTTATCCTAGCACACTTTTATAGACTTAAGAAGCTTCAGTTTAATTTGAAGATGAAAAATCAAGCTTGAGATTAATTTACAGGATATGACTTGTAAGCCCAATGTAAAACACAATCCCCTTCTACTTTCTTACAAGTTACAACAATGAACGCAAAGAAAGAGACTGTGGGTACAACTATACAGTAATTTACGAGTTAAGAGGGGGGAACTGTTATTAGCACTCTAAAAATCTCTAGCACTCCACAAATTTCTATCTCAAAAATTTTTGGAGTACTAATAACACCTCTTTAAGAGAGACTTGGTAAAAACTAAAATTACAACAAAATTTCATCCATGTCGTCATAAACTACCTGTGTGTCCGACTTTGACGCGATGATATTCCACTAACCACGTAAATGAAAACCACTAAGGTGTGCAAATCCAAATGGAAACTACAGAGGTATCCAAATTCAAAAGAATTCGACAACGATGAATTTAAAGATACAATGGACAAATTCAAATGACCTACTCACAAATTATTCTTCTACCTTTTCAATGGAAACATAATCTTCTACCTCTTCCGTAAAAGCGTCATCTTCTACTTGTTCAATGAAAAGGTCATCTTCTAAGTCCATTGCTATTTTTTTACTTTCTCTGAATAAAAGGAGATGAAAATATGAGTTAGGGTTTAAGGTAGACAAATTGTCTCCCATGCCCAACAGCCCCAACCAATTTTTTTTTTTTTTAAATTAAGCAAAACAAGATAATTAATGTCCTTATCAATCTTTTTGTAAATGGACAATTTGTAATTAAAAAATTCATTAAAAGGTATGTGAGAAAATAAGATATTGAGATGGGAATAACATCACTCTTCCTTAAATGGAATTCTCACTATTGGAATTTCTCCTTTTATGGTGGCCAAGTTTTTATTTAGTGGAAAATACTGACTTTTCAACAGAGGCGGCAAGCAAGCTTTGGCTATTTTTTTTTTTGGTTGCTTTGTTGCTTAGTTTTAGGAAAATGTTAGCATCAGTCGCAAACACCTACCCATGTGAGTTGATGTAAGTGCTAGGATCAATCACAATTACACGTTTTTACTGATCATAGATATTCACGCTTGTTTCAACGCGCACCTGCATGACTGATCCTAACGCACTTTTATGGACTTAAGAAGCTTCAATTTAATTTGAACATGAAAAATCAAGCTTGAGATTAATTTACAGGATATGACTTGTAAGCCCAATGTAGAACACAACCCCCTTCTACTTTCTTACAAGTTACAACAATGAACGCAAAGACAATCACTGCGAGTACAACTATAAAGTAATTTACGAGTTAAGATAAGGGAACTGTTATTAGCACTCCAAAAATCTCTAGCACTTCAAAAATTTCAATCGCAGAGATTTTTGGAGTACTGATAACAGCTCCCTAAGAGAGACTTGGTAAAAACTAAAATTACAACAAAATTTCATCCATGTCGTCATAAACTACCCATGTGTCCGACTTTGACGTGACGATATTCCACTAACCGCGGATAACTGCTTCAGATGGGTAAGAGCAGCCTGAGCCTGTCTCTTGGTGTTCGAATTGCCGTGCTTGAAGGCTTCCACCAATGCCCAAACCAGAGCCTGGTTTAGTGAATGTCTATGGTTTTCGACTCTCAACACTTTCTCTATGATCCAAGTTGTTCGCTCCTGAAGCTCGCCCGGTCGAACTGCCCTGAAAAGGTTAATCACAGCTTCAATCACACCCAAATCTTCGAGCTGGTCAACTGCTCTTTTGAAGCTGCTAGAAGTTTCTATTACAAGAGTGGACAGTGCCTCCACTGCAGCAATCTGAACACTGGTGTCCTCGTCGTTCAGTAGATCAACGAGGGGTGTGATGGAGTTGCTCTTTAGCAAGCACAACTGACTGTCTTCTTCACATGAAACATTGTGTATTGGACACCTTGGTAGTTCAACAGAAGAGCTTCCACACATGAAGACCAACGAAAAGAATCCATGGGGAGGTCGTGGTTCTGATTCCGCAGCAGCTAGGAACCCTCCATATTCCGACAAGTTTTTCAATCCAAGGGCAGCTAGTTGTCTCACTCTTGGGTTTGAAGGATAGATAAGATGATCGTGGAAAATAGTAATAAGGCTATGCTCTTTGAATGTGCCAAGAGTTTGCCGGTCAGGTTTCCTTGTAATGTGAAGTAAAAGACCAAGAAGACCTTCCAACAAGTTTGATGCAGGTCGTGAAATCCTCCCGCTGGAAGCTTGGCGCTGGCTTTTAAGAGTAGTAACTGTCCAATTTACAAAACTAACTTCAAGAAGTGTTTTCACTTCATTTTCCGAAAGAGAAAGGTTCGCAAGTATGCATGCGGCATCAGATCTCTCACTATCTATTGATTGGTGGTCTAATAGTTTGTCTTGTAACAGGGGAATCCTGTTCGAAAGCCTTAGCTCGTTAGCTATATCTTCACCACACCTTTCTGAGAGTAGTCTTGTAAGCCTAAAAGCATGAATCCTGTGTTCAACTTCTGGGTGTTCAAGAAATGGTAAAATGGTTTTAATCCCTTCCCCAGATTTTATATGACGAGCCACCGACTCTGCAAATAAAAACAATAAAACATGGGTCTCCTGTTAAAGTTTGCCAATTTGGCAATTGTCTTTCATGATTTGCTTACGAGAGATATTCTTATGCCAGAAACATCTAAAATTCACAAACAAAAATGTAAACAGAAACCATTTCTCAGCAGATATTTTGCCCTGCAATGGATTGCATATTCCTGGACTTTCTGGTTTTGCGATTTGAGATGTATTAATTAGCTTCGGCAATCTCACACATGAATATATCAGCGGCACAAAACTTTAGGTTATTAACTTATTCTTGGAAAGCCAATTAAGGAGATCATCATTGTTTTCATAGTGTCATTGATGAAAAACCAACGCTCCGATAATATATTTGGCCTTTCTATACATACAATAACTAGCCATATTAGGATTCCGTTTGAACTGCATCAGTTTCCTAAGGTAAAGAAAGCCACAATTTTCCTGATTCAATTTCCGGAAAAATAAAGCAAAATGACTTGAAAGGCTATAACTTACTGAGAAGTGAACATAAAACAAATGTAGGCAAGTTCAATTTATACAAGGTACTCCTTAGAGATTGATATAGCAAGATAGGTATATATGAAAGCATGGCTCAATTATTACTTATGTGATGAAAACTTACGTGATGCCTGTGGAGACGATGCAATTCCATATAGGATGTGGAGAATAGAAATTTGACATTGAGGAGATGCAAGTGGTAAAGATCCCAAAATACTATAAATGAATGAGTCTGACTGCATGGAATGCCCTTCCTTGTCAGCATATGCCAATTCCCAGTGCCCTGAATTTGACACTATATTTGCAATTGTTGCTGCAGCCAATTCTTTGAGTTCTGGTGAAGTATCCTGGTTTATAAAAAGGATAGCTGTAAGAGAGGGAAGTACAGCAGAATCAACGAGGATGGTTGCATTGTCATCTAGACTTGACAAGTTGTACAACGCTTGCAAGCTTGCTGCTCTTCCTTCTGGCTTAGATAGCATCTCAACCAGTATTTTAGCACTTCGCCTAGCTATTTGTTCCTTGCTGCTATTTGTCAAGGTCATACTTCCCACCAAAGATGCCATTTCAATTTTGGCACCATCGGAACCTGTTGCCTTAAAGAGTTTAGATTCTATGCTAACATGTGAAAATAAAATCACACCATACACTGCAGACCATTGTTTAAACTTGCAAAATTGAATTGAATTTCCAAATTAATGTAATCCATGACAATGTAATGATTTTCAGATTGAAAAACAAAAGTTAGTACAAGACAAACCTTCACAAAGTCGAGTAAGCAATGGTTCAAATCTCCCTGCCGCAGCCAAATGCTGAACATTAACCTCCACCTTCTCCATCCATTTTAGTACCTCCTCAGCCAATTTGGATAAACCAGGATGCTCGAGGTTTCCTGCCATACTTGAGAGAAGAACCAGCGCACCTTTCTCTGATGCAATTTTAATGCAACAAGCTTCATCACTAGAGAACTCAAGTAAAAGTTTCACAGCATACTCTCTCTCTCTCTCCGAGCTCCCGGTAAGACTATGTATGGCCAATCTAGTGATACCCTCTTGAAGCATGATTTTCTAAAAATGTTTGACAAATTCTATCAGAAATTAGTAAACATCTGAGACAGCCACAAGGGCCAACTAGAAACAAATATCACTATGCCATACTGTGGAAAAGAAATGGAAGTTCTACACTGTCACGGGAAACTGCAATTTCAAACTTCAAATTCCATACAGAGCAAAAACTTTACCATGAAGAGTGTAACTTGATTGAAAAATACAAAAACCACAGCACGAGGGGTATAACTTGATTGAAAAATGTGAAAACTTCGGCATGAAGAGTATAACTTAATACAAAACCCAAATAAAACTGCGATAAAGTGATAAACCCACCTTGCTTTCTTCATCCTTAGCCATGCTAAGCAAAACCATTAGAGCTTTGCTCCTCAAATATGTCCCGATACTCTTGGAACTGTTCCTGAGCATCTTAACAATAAGAACAAGAATGCCACCATTCCTAACTCTATACCGACAATTCGGATACTCCTCCGAGATGTTATACAAATTATCCAGCACTCCCTCCACACAATCCACCGCCGGAGGCTCTTTACTCAGATGCTGAGCTGAAAATTTCACCACAATATCAACATTCCTATTGACCCACTCCTCTATAGCTCCGGACAATCCAATGTTCGGCTTCACCTCCAGCGACTTGAGAACTTGACCCGTGACCGGACAAGTCGGGTCACGCCCGTCTTCCAAACACCGCTCGAACCAGTAATTAATGGCGGTCCGCTCGTACGTCTGCGACGACTGGAGCACTACCGGGTCCCGCATCACCTCCTTCGTCAGCGGACAGAGAAAGTTCTTAAACGGCTGAATGTGAACGTCGTCTTCGAACTCCATTCCCTTCTTCCAAGCCGAGAAACTGGGACGCTGCACGGCCCAGTTGTTCAGAATCCTCTCCAACGACCACAGAATCTGCCGTTCCGACACCAAATTGGACCCTGCGACGTCGTTTTTGAGAAGCCTGATCTGCTTCGAGAGCTCGTCGTGATTCTCAGCGTCGATCCCTAGCCCTCGGGCTAAGTCCATGATTATCGCGCTCTCCACTACTTTGCTGGTCTTCGATTGAGTTGCTAATCCTTCTTTCTGCAGAATGTGATGAACTCGTTCTTCCTTCTCCGAAACCTAAAATCCGATTCAAAACCCCCAATTTTCAAAATTCGCGTTCAAAAATTTGAATCGAAGATGAACTGAAGTGAGGTCACTACTTACTGTGAAGTGAGCTTGCTTCATGTCTCTGGAGAGATCGGCGATCTTCTTGCGAAGATCGGAGAGGTTGAGGTCCTGAACCGCAGCGTCGAGGAGGGCGAGCCAGCCGGAGATGGCGACTGTGCGGTCGCAGAGGGAGGAGCAGAGGGAGAGGCAGTTGATGATGACGGAGATTTTGCCCTTGGTTCTGTAGAACGACAGAGTTTCGAGTGCGGAGGCGAGGTCGGCGGCGATGCCCTTGAGGGCGGTGTGGGCGGAGGGAGGGAGGGAGTCGAGCGATGGCGTGGCGCGGGTGAGGTGGGTGAGTGACAGCTGAAGGCGGTCAGCAAAGCCGGAGAAGCGGCGGGGGAGGTCGAAGGGAGAGTGGCGGTAGTGATCGGCGCAGAGCTCGGCGAGCGAGGTGTTGATTGAGTCTAGTGCCGACGAGACGGAGGACGACGACGACGACGTCATTGCATTGCCGCGTTCGCCTGTCGGAGTTGGGGTTCCGGGGACTGGAGCGAAGGTCAAACTTCGAGTGTTGACTTGAAGCGGAGACTCGCGCGGCACACTGGCTTCAAAGATTCAAGCTCAAGTTCCCATCCGGCAGTTATAATTAATTTAATATTAAAAAAAATTTTGAAAAACCGCCGTAGAAACGTTGCAGTTGAAGTTTCAACAAAGGCGCCAAAGACCAAAAGAGGAAAGTGATGGAAGTTATTAACAGTAGTATTATCTTCAAAGAGGAAAATGATAGAAGTTATTAACAGTAGCATATGGGCGCATCTAAAGTGTGTGAAATTTTTTTTTATTTTTGTTTTTGAAATAAAAGAATAGAGGAAGAGAGTGATAGAGAATTTGAGAGTGAGAAGTTTTTTTTTAATTTAATTTAATTATTATTATTTTTAATTAGAGATACGTTAGGATTACACGTAGGTGAGGTTTTGAAAGAAAAAAAGCAAAATTTGGTTGTGTGAAATTACATTTCTGCCCCATATTTCTTATTCATGTTCTTTTTTAATTAGAGGGTTAAAGTGATAATCTCATAGAGTTTTGGTTGACAATGAGTGTTTTATTAATTAGTAGATATTAGCATTTCTGAACATATTTTTTTAGAAAATGAGAAGGAGAGAGGGGGAGAGAGAGAGAACATGGGTGGAGTTGAAGGTTTTTGATTTTAGTGTTTTTATTTTATTTTATTTTATTTTTTAAAATATTAGAGGTATTTTAACATCACATGTAGGCACAGTTCTAAAAAACGTTAGACGCTAGTCGGGCGGTGGATAGGGGCCTAGCGGCTAGGCGGATTTATGTATTTTATTATGGAATTATTATTTGCACTCCAAAATTCTCATTCTAGATTTTTTGAATGCCAATAACATTTTACTTTATTATATATTATTATAAAATATGAGCATATTTGTAAAATTTTAGGACTTTTTATATTAGTTTTATAACTCTTACTCAGCCCACATATTTTAATTATTATTGGGCTTTGCTTCTTTTCTTGATCAAGATTAGGTTTGCTTCTCATTTAATAAATAACCTTGTTTCTTTATATAAAAATAATTTTCTTATTCCTGATGATATAGACAAAAAATGACATAGGCGTGGCAAATGGACAGCCATATCTCTCTTCCCACAACTCTTTCCCCACTTTAATTCAGCCCGAGAACCACACAAAATCCCATAAATCTCTCTTTCTTTCTCTCTCTCGTTCTTTTTCCATAAACCTCTAGCAAAGCAACCATGGCTATATTCAGATGCGGACATAGATAAGAGTTTCGATGCAGATGCGAGAGTTAGAGTTGCAGATCTAATGAGAGTTCGAGATGGCAAGAGTTGCAGAGCCTTCAATGCTGGCAAGAGTGGAGATTGTGGAAACTGGGAGAGACGATCGACGACGATGGCCCAAAAATACCTCTTGAAGTAGCAGCGTGCGAGTGCACTGTAGTTGAGGAAGAAGAGACGAAGTGGCTGACGACGAGACTTGGTTTCTGAAATAGGGTAGTTGTAGGGCATGGGAAGTTAGAAGTTAGAAAGTTAGAATAAAGATATGATTTTTTTTTTAATTTCAAAAAAATAAAAATAAAAAAGGCCCAGCTCCACTTAGCATCGCCTAACCCGCCTAGAGCCCAGCCGCTTTTTTATGGCCAATTTGCAAGAAAACGTCTCAGATGGTGACCGCCCAACGCCTAGGCCCTTTTTTAGGCCCTTTTTTAGAACACTGCATGTAGGTGAAGCTTCAATAAAAAAAGTAAAATTTGAACCTATAAAATTACATTATTACCCATCATTTTTTTTGTGTGATAGAAGACTAAGTAGTTTTTTTCACTTCTTTTGGTTGACAAAGAGGGTTTCATTAATTAATAGGGATGATTACACAAATTTAAGGTTGGACAATTTAGTTAGAGCAATGGAGGCATGGTTGGTTCGCTCACTTCCATTTTTTGTTGACCCAGTTGTTCTGTTTGGTTCGATCTCTTGGTGGTGGCGGCGGCCTTGCGATGGAGGCGCGTCATCTGACTTGGGGGTGGCTGCTGGTTTCCTTTTCATTTTTAGGGTTTTTTGTTATTCTGAGTTGGGTCCTTTTAGGCTTTCTATTGTATTTGATTTTTCCTGATGGGCTTATATTTACTATTTAGGTTTTGGGCTGCCTTTTGAGCTATTTTCTCCTTGTATTAGTCTTTTATTTAATGAAAGTAACTTAGTTCGACAAAAAAAAGTACTCTCGTTCTGCAATTTGTATTGCGTTTAAAGAATATGAGAGTAAAAGGATAATATAATAATACAATCCTCTTTTGTTGATAAATATCTCAAATTATTTGAGGGTTCTTTGTATGGTTTAATATACATCATATTTCAACGATCTAACCGTTCATCTTTTAAGTTTTACTTTAAAAATCATCTCTACAAAAATCACTCAAATCTGAAATCATCCATCATTTTTTCAAAGTTTATTATGTGCAAAGAGTATTTCAGCAATCAAACTGATTTATATTCCGACTTCTAGTAGATAGTCTAGACTTTAATTAAAAATGTCACTTTTTCTATTCATGCTCACTCCGATTCCTCCATAACCTAGTTTCTTCTTATTCCGATTTCAAACACATAATTCTTAATTAACTGATCTCCAAGCTCCTCGCAAATCAGAATTATTTCATAATATTTCAAGATAATTGTCCAAAGAAAATGCGAATCTATAGACATAATTGGCCATCAATGTGCTAGTTATGGGCCATGAAGCCCAAATCTGTTTTGAGTTACGCAGAACGAACTGAGCCCAAGGGAGATGCCCGTTTACGTTTCATATCAAGAAATAGCCGAAGATGGTGCTTATATTGCCAAGAGAATTGCGATGTGAACAAATTTCAGTAGTGTTTCGAGTTGTAACTGTACGTACTTCTAAAGAACATCAACTGACACAGCAATACGATAATACGATGTGACGACAATGCTGCAGTTCAACAACGAAATCAAAAAAGAAACCGAATCACATTCATATTCGTATAAATAGACACGGTATATGTCCTCGTTCGAAACCGGAAGGCACATGTTCTTAGAAATGCACACAAGTAGAGTGATATTAAGGGCCGCAACAAACTGAACTAAACCAACTGGTATGGCACAAAACATAGCAATCGTATCATACCTCCATCATCTCTTATACTTTATTCAACTTTCATTTGTTTATTTTTTCGCCGGAGCGGTTCAATCGCCTCTACCACCATTACCATCCATTGAATCCAACCGTTAACCATCACAACACTCACCGCCGCCACATCATCATTGCCACCGCAGTTTGATCCCACTTCTGCCGCCAGCATCACCTAGTAGTAGTATTCATGCTACTAGGTATCTTCGCTTCCTTGTCAAATCTAGATTTTGCTTGTATCACGCCCAAACACTAATGTTGTAAGCCAGTTAATCACCACATAGAATCTGTTCCTCCAGCTTATGACTCGGGTTAAATACGTGCCGAGCCAAATAAACCAACTAGAGAACCCGGCCATAGATATGCCATTACCCGCCTGCAAAAAAATTTGCTACAAAAATTAGTTATCTTAAGCTTAAAGTGCGAGACGAGCGCCTTTGAAGTGGCTTGAAATTCACCTTGCTCTGTCTGAGGTCCACGAGAGCCCTGTATCTCCCAAGAGTCGCCATGCTTCCTAAATGCTTGTACACAAATGGTTCCTTGTATTTATAATCTCTTGCGGCATTCGCATGCCCTCCACCAGCTTCACCAATTTTGTTCAGTAGATTGGCCAAATATTTTCCTTGCCTCTCTGCAACCTTCAAATATTTTAAACAGATATGCATAAAGATTCAGTTGCCCTTTAGCTGCAGACTGTAAAATCTAGAATCACGTTTTAAAAGCAAAGAACTTCAGTGCATTTGCCGGCTGGCTAAACCGTCAGAGTAAATACTACCACTACACAAATTTTATGGACTTTTAAACACATGGGACTCTATGAGAATAGAAAATCGAACAATTCCTAACCTGGGCCAAGGCTGGAAGGGTTGGTTTTCCTGTACTTCCAACAAAACCACTACAGTCTCCAATTGCATACACATCCTGCGCCTCAGGAACGCGCAGCCACTCGTCAACCCCAATCCTGCAATTAGATAAACGGGTCAAAAAAAAATAAGCTAACAGGATATGTCATTCTAAAGCTTACTTAACAATTTGGGTAGTAAAAATAGGGAGCAAGAATGGGAAACATGGACCAAATCATACCTTATGATATGAAAAGATTTAAAGCAGACAAAGACAGATGATATTGAAATGAAAGATTTGTCTTGCAGAGGAGGAAATGGAAAAATATAAACTGAACTTTTGGGGGCAAAAAGTGAAGTAAAATGTACCATAAGGTACCAAAAATTATGAAAACTCATAAGCTTAGATTTGTTAGACGCTCCAGAGTTTGAGAGGAGGAACAAACTCATTCCATTAGAAAAAAAATTAACCATCACCTCCCACCAGAAGATTTTGGAAGTGGCAAGGAGTTCACCAAAGGTGATGGACCAACACCGGTAGACCATACCAAAAGACCATAAGGAACCTCTGTGCCATCATTAAGAATTATTTTCTTATCCTTGACATCCTTAACAATTCCATGGACAAGATGAACTCCTGACTGAGAGAAACAATCAAATGAGCAATGAACAATCCCAGAGATTAGTGGGAATGAATTTTAGCAATCAACAACTGTAGTTTGTGGGAGATAATCTCTGAGAAATCGCTCTTAGTTTTTTAATACTACTGGTGGTGCAACGATTTGAGGTTGCCATTATGTGCATAAGAAGGATTCTCAGAGATGATCTCATTTGACTAATAACAGGCCAACAGGTTCTTTTATGAATAAAATATCTCTTACCTTTGTCAGCTGTTTCGTAACATAGCGCCGCAGCTGATTGTCAAATGATGATAATATCTCATTTGCCTATGAAGACAAAAACGTTACTCAGTTGTCATAGAGAAAATCTACTTCCTCATTACAATAAACAGTTTACAGATTTAAGTTTTTCCATGGACTGCATTTATATCTAATA